CAAGGCCACTGACCTTGAGCCAAACGAATACTTCTATAGGTGAGATCCATATATACATTTATGTTCATGTGTTACCATTGTAACATGTTACCAAATGTACCATTTGGAGTAAATATGAGTTAGATAAGAACTTCATTTTGTCTCTTCTCCTGTGAAAAAGACCTTGTATATCACACTCCTAATAGCCAAGGGAGGAACCAGAAAGCTGAATATCCTGTTGCTCCCTGGTTTAACTTTTACTTACTTAGAATTTAGTGATACTGGTTTTGTTGTTGAAGTTATAATCTTAATGGGTACACCTACTGATGCCCTTCCTGTTGGCCTTCATTTTTAGAGACTATAAACTAAACAAGTTTATTTTTTTTTTTTCCCAGACAACAAAACTATTGCTTGTGCACTGCCCTGTCACAGGAACACAAATAAAGAACCACTTGCAATCCTATGTGGTTTGCCATGAAAGCAAGGTCTTGCAAAGCAGGCAAAAGCCACCCAGGCCTCAGAGCACTCCTTTTGGGCTGGTAATTCTTATAAAAAAGGCAGTTTGTTGTAACAGAAGGTTGAACAAGGTAAATGGCAACTTGTGAGTACTTCAATTCTGAGCTACTATAAAGCTGCAAAATTTTAAAGGCCTCTTGTGAAAAATGGATTAGTTTATTAAATAAACTAAACTGTAACATAGTCTACCATTAGCAATTTCAGTGTCTTAGTCATGAAGGGAACACAAAGTTGTATGTTTTCATTTTTATGGGACTGGGAGAGGCACAGTGAGAGGCAAACCCTATGAAACAGCAATATGGTTAAGTAATAAAAGAACACCTTTATAGTAACATGAATCATTGGCTTAAAATATTTAGATTTCTCAAACTTTCTGCTCTAACCCTCCAAATATTGCAGAAAACAACCCCCAGATCTATTGCACCACAGAAATTAGGCAATGAGTTAGCACACCAGCTCTGGGCAGAGTTGCTTGGACCTTGGCATAAAACAATACCTTGGACACACGTGTGACTCTTAAAGCTCTGCTGACTGAAAACCTGGGCAGGCTAAAGGAGTGGGGTCATATTAAGTAATATTTCTTGGAATTCAAGGCCTTTTCTTCATAAAGAAGAACAAATTCTTAGAAAATGCTTGACTAAATCTTGGGAAGGCAGATAATTGAGAGGTCTAAGGAAAGGGTGGACCCTGAGGTCATGGAACATTTTGAGTGCATATGGTACAAGGAAAGCCCCAAAACCGGGAACAGCTGGCTGGATATTAAAACTGTAAATGTCTCTACAGAGGACAGCCTTTACCCAGCAGAGATAAACATGTGTGCTACAAGCAAAACTTACAGATTCTGAGCAGCTCTGAGTAGCAACTAAGGACAGGTTTGAAGCTTAGGAGGATTTCTATATGAAGTGTGCAGATGATGGTAAGATGACTGGAGATGCTTTAGGAGAACTGCTGAAGAAACCAACAGTATACTCCCAAGAGGAAAGATTAAAGATTTTGGAAAGTAATCAGGATCAGGATGTGGCAAGGACTGTATGCCTTCAGAACCTGGATCAGGTTCATGATGAGATTGAATCAAAAGAAAATGCCAAGAGACAAAGCCACTTCAGAACATTTGAAGGGCATGTGGAGAGGATGGGGCAGAAAAGGAACATTAATGCTGAGAAGAAAACAGAATCTTCACCTGGAGGAAAGAGCATTATCTGATGAACAATGAAATTCTTTTCTTTTCAAAGAAGAAAGTTACAAAGGGATGGACCTGGGCTCCTTGTGGAGCTCAGTTCTTAAGGGATCCAAGAGGCAATTACAAGCCTTTGGGAAGAATTTGGCACCGTGTGTTGACAGGGTTGCCATTAAATTATTAAAAGCAGAAGGAGGTAAACAAAGCCAAAGGCTGTACAGAATAAATCTGTTGATTTCAGATACCTGAAAAAAAATTGAGAGCCATGGAAGGTGATTTTCAGAAATGCAATGTAAAAGCCAGTGCAAAGAGTTCCTGTGTTTTTCTGAAAGCCTACAAAGCTTTCTCAGAAGGGTTTATGTTTTTTGGGGGGGTGTTTTTGTGGGGTTTTTGTTTGTTTGTTTGTTTTTTAATAAAGCAGGAACATTTCAGTAACACCAATTTGGATTCTGGAAAAATAATTCTCCCAAGTATTAAATAATCATGATATATTGGAAGATATATAACACTATAGTCAGAATGAATACACACACTTCTAGATTTTAAGGAATCTTACAACGCTGTATTGTGGCCTTTGAGCCACATTGGAGGAATTTATAACTCCATAAGACATTTTGTAACAGGCATAGCCACAATTTGCAATTAAGAAGATGAAGCATGAAGAAGGTGTAAAATCTCTGGCCCATTTAATATAAATGAGGGATTAAGGCATGGAAATGCATTATCCTTGATATTCCTTAACATGGTTAAAATGTTACATTCATTGACATTTTCAGACTACAGTGGACAAAATAGTGGAGCACTTTTGGGATCCTATGGTCTGGGCAACTGAGAATGAAGCAGAAGGTGTTGAATGAAAAGTTCCTACCTGAAGAAGAAAAACAAAGAAATAATATAAAATCAGACATCTATTAAACCCAAATAATAAAAAATACCAGTAAATTGAATCTACTAGTAAAACATTTACTAAGAAAAGGAAAATGACTTCAATAAGAAGAATCTAGAGCAAATTCTGTGATCACTGTTATATGAAAAGCCACAGAGTTTGAATATCTGCCAGCAAATAATTTGGTTTGGTTGTTGTTTCAGTGACTGTTAATTTTAGATCAGTAAAGAGCTCTGAGTACTCTCTGTACATTAATTAATCAATTAATCTCAAATATTCCCATGTCATTAGTAAGGTTAATTTTATCCCACCTAAATATTCACTTAAGAAACTTTTTTTGGCCATATTTTCACCATCTATTTAGAAGAAGAAACAAAATTACCTGTATTTATATTTAATATACATATATATTATATTTAAATATATTTAAAAGATTTTTTTATACCTGACCATTTTTCTTAGTGCTTTGGGAAGGGATGGGGAAGAGGAGACTTGCAGGAATATTGAAAAATTTCATGTCTGAAAGGAAGATTTAGGAAACAATTTGTGTAGAGCTCTTTCATGAAAACATCCATGCTGGTTATCCTAAACAATATGTTCCAAAACTATATTTATTTATTCTCAATTATATTTTATAAATTAATGTCTTAAGAGACCATCAGGACTTCACATGAAAAAAAAATTGCTTCATGTTAATCCCTAAAAAAATCATATAATAAAAATTATTTTTTATAAATACTGACCTTAGAATAATTGTTAAAAAGACCCAGACCCTCAGTAGAATAAGATGTTTCTGGTATCTTTCAGGTCTTGAAGTGTATTTGAAGAGCTCCATCTTACTTTTTTCTTGCTTCTTGTCTAATGAAAGGTCTTTTAGAAAAAGGCATTTGCTAAAATTGGAAAATATCATAGCCAAGCATTGTTTTGATAATATCATAGAAAGAGAAATAGTTATTGTTGAGTAGCAATTCTGTCAAAATTCATGTTCTTCCTGTATTATTAACTCTTATCTTAGCATGTAAGAACTGCTACAGGAAAACATGCTGGAAAAGGAAGGGTACCAAAGGACAGGAGATGCCTCACCTTCTGCACTCAGTCTTGGAAATGCTGAAAATACTGATACCCAATCTATAATAACTGATAACAACTGATAGTTGATAACATTTTCTGTACAGTGTTTCAAGCACACTTCTACATCCTCACTCAGGACAAACACATTTAAGATTTTTATTTCTGTACAAATGGCTGTTATGTACATAAACTGTCACTGAGTTAGCCTTCATATTATTCAATATAATATATGAGAATATGAGAAAACTGAGTGAATGTTCTGATTTAGATCAGCTGTTAAACCAGTGATGTAATCTATTTTATATAGATATATAGATAGATACAGGCCCACACACACATATGCTTTAAAAATAATTGTTTGGTTTTCCTATCACTCCTACCCTTGCTTTCTCACTTTAGAAAAAGGCATTTTTTAACATTATCATTTAACATTATCAGCAAGGGCACAGAAATGTTTCAAGACACAAACTTGAAGTTTCAGCATACATGACCAAGCCTGGGGTAATATTGTGAGCCTTTTCAGCCTCACAATAAATTTCAGGGAGCCACTATAGTTCGAACTCTATGTACAAGACAATGATTTTCCAAATCAAATTACCTGCAGCCATAGAAATGGCCACATGTGGCATAATAGGCAGTCATATAGAAATATAAACAATCCTTAGGAAAGTAAAATTGCATTAAATAAGGAAAAGCTGAAACAACATACGTATGGCCCTGAGTTATACAAGCCCAGACTCTACAAGGGCTTTTTTTTTTTTTTTTGCCATCTTTGTCCTTTGTTGTTAGTATTTAATGAGGAAATACAACTGAAGACAGCATGGGAAGTTTGGGCCACCTGCAGACAGCACCAGGCTTGTTATTATTTGTTATAAGCACCAAAAATAGATTTGGATATTCCATACTTTATACTGAAATAAGTATCAGCAAACTACAGTTTTTCAGGTAATGCTGCACCTTAGAGAGTGGAAAAAATACAGTAAATTTATTTAATTTTCCCCATTAACATCAAACATTGTGAACAGGACAACTTTGCTTATAAAAAAGAGGGATTGTAAATTACCTTTAACAGAGAATTTTTCTTTATTGTCAAGAAATCTTTCAGATGCTTTTTAAAAAACTGGTAATGAAATTAGGTACATAATGATTTTATAATTTATATTAATACTAGGAAAGTTATTATGCATGAAGATTGAACATCTGTTAAAGTGATCCCAAACTAAAATTCTTACTATCAGGATTCCAACCTCTCCATTAAATTATTTAGAAAATAATTATTGCTGCAGATTTTACACATAACAAATTCCACGTTCCAATCTGAACTTGTCAAAATGTTTTCCGTTTGGAAGATGAGAGGAAACTCTATGTATAAAAAGAGCAGTCAGCTATGAAAATCCTCAAATCAGATGAATTTGAATGTTTCTTAATGGTATATTCATAGCTTAATGTGTCAAGAATTTGACCTTTTTTATGAAATAATTTTAATAGTGGTAACATACCGATAACCTTTTTTAATTTTTTTTTGTACAGCTGAACAAACATTTCATTACATTTCATAGGAATGTAATGAATGGAAGCAAATATTCTGAAGTGTGCAAATTCGATTTAAGTATTTCCAGAATTTTATATAAATATAGAAATACAAAGAGGAAATGGAGTACTAAGCCCATGTTACCATGGACAGGCTATCTCATATTTGGAACAGTAATTCGTAGCTGCTGGATTTCCCTCAGCAGAATCCCTGGACTGAGGAGGGGGAGGTTGAATCCTGACAATCAGAACTTCACTGGGGCTTTACTTACCAGAACAGCACTTACTCGTTTATTTTTCATCCAATATAAATCACATTAAGAGTAAAACAGGCCATTCAACATTTTCTGACTCTAAGAAAGGGTTCCAAAGTTAAATTGGAGAACAGAGTTTAAAAAAGAATATGGCCTTTTCTTGACACAATCATAATGGGACTGTTCATAAAACATCTCATCTGATGTACAGTGGTCGTTACCAAAAAGTTTGCACTTGTCAACAACTAACAAAATGTAGTTATCAGACATTTATGCTATTTATACCTTCCAAAAAGAAAGCTTTGGTATAAGATGTGTTTGCAAACTCCTTGTTTTTATATGTGGCCATTATATAAGTATTTTTATTTACTTCATTATTATATGAATTTACTAATTTGCATGCAATCAGGGATCCTGGGAGAAGAAAGATAACTTCAGAAAAAAAAATTCTCAGAGTGAAGGGAAATGCTGAATGATCCCATGACAAACATGCTTTTCTTGTACAGTAAAGTAACATTTTTTACCTGAAAACAGTAAAATGGCTGATCACTCTTGGCCTATCTTTAGTGTTGCAATAAAATATTTTAATCCCTTTAAAACTCATACCTGATTTTCAAGTATTTTTCGAACTCTGGTTGAGATACAGAGTAATCCTGTATGAGTGAGCGAAGATAAAACTCTCCTACAGGACTGGATGCTCTTTCTGTGGATGTGGTTTCCAGTACATTCACAAAACACACACTGTATATTTCTCATGTGAAATGCTTAGGTTGAGACTTTGGAATATATTCCAGACAAGTGGCTCTTTCTTTTTCCTAAGTGTATGCATCACATAAACCAGTCCCTTCAGTTTATATTCACTTGAACAAATTAACTTTAAAACTGGCAGAAAGGGTTGTTTTCAAAGGACAATTTTTTCACTAGGCTAAGTAGCACTGGTTCAAAGTTCCCAACAGAACCTTTAAAAATGAATTTTTAAAGTTTTAAGTTATATGAGGTCAGAATAGGCAATAAAAGTCACAAGATTGTGATGACATTATCTTAAGATAATAATCTTATTTTAAGATATGAAAATACTGAAACAATCATGCCAGTATAAGAAATAATTATACCATAATTCATAAGTGCATAATTTATCAAAACAATAGAGCAGTCATGGTTAGATGCAACCTAATACTCCTGTATAAGATATAACTACATACTGTACAATTGTTCCTTTTTAATAATTATTTTTACATTTAGTCCTCATCCAAATTAAGCTGAGTACTTCTATGTATGAATGGCTTTAGGAAATAAACACAACTCACAACAGGGCTTTATTACTGCTACTGCACCACCATGGCATGCAAGTAACTATGTAGTCAACTATAAACAGTAAAATGTCATCATCTTTCTGAAATAAAAAGAACATAAAAAATACAGATATAGTAGTAAACATCAATTATCTTTTTATATCTTTCATATTTACCAAAAGTTTATCATTACATGAGACATTTAGACCTCTGTATCACTCTCCTGTACTAGGATGGTGGCAAATTTGGAGTTGAGAAACGATACTTTCAACAAGCTTGTATAAAACTACTGGTTTCATATTACACTCTGTCAGTGTGCAATGCATAAATGAGAATATGACACATCTGCTACCTGCCCCTCAGCATTCTCTTAGTCTCTTCTATGTTCATGAATTTTTGTAAATAAAAAGACTGAAGGCCATTAAATCTGGTTGCCAGGTTATCTGTTGTGGTTACTGAGCCCCCAAAAGACTAAAGTCTTTCACAAAGGAAATTCTTTCATTGCATTTTTTTGTTGAGTACTGATTGTGTGAGGTTCCATACTGGTTGTGGGATTTGACAACTAATGTTGGAAGCAAATTGGATTTTTAAACATTTTTATTTATTTATATAGGGTAATTCCTTAACAGGTGCTAAAGTGACAATGAGATGAAATTCTGCAGTTGTGAGGAAAAAAATATCCATATTTTATTATAAAAACAAGAGCCAAAGTGTTGACTGGAATTAATTTCTTCTGCTTACAGCTCAGGACAATATATAGATACTAGAAAATTTCAATATTGAAACGGGAGCAGGTTGAATAACAGCATGTTCAACTCTCCTTAGATTTGCAGTCTTGGAGACTCTCTTGGGAAAAAATACTGTAAAGCAGCTTTTCCATGCTCAGTTGATTTTGCTGATCATTTAGGTGGCATGGAGGACCCTCTCTGTATCAGGACAAACTCTGAGATACAGAAAAGAAAGCCCACCCATCACTCTTCTGCAGCCCAAATTATATTTATGAGGTTTTTTCAGTGTGAAGAAAAATAATAATTAAATTCTCAAGCCTTAGTATTTAATAGAATTATCTTTCAAATATTACATGTGGTGTTTTTGGGATACACCTTTGCTGAATTCAAAAGATGACTATCTCTTCTGGGCAATGATAAAAAAAACCCACCTAAATCCAAATTATTCTCTTTAGTTTCTGCTTGCTGGAAAGAAATCTTAAAGCCAATTACAAGGAAAATCTGTACAATTCCCATTGTTATGTTAAGCTATACAAAAATTTCCTTTAGTTTCTTGGAATTTGCTCAGTTTTCAATGATACCAATTGCTTCTACATTACAAAAAAAAAGTAAAGTTTTTCCTAGTTCTGTCCAAGGATTTTCCCTGCTCTGATATGTTCAGGATTAAGAATATTCAGTATTTTATCTTGTATTTTGTTGATACCAGGATCCACTCTTTTTATTAAAGCTCTTCAGGCATACCCATACCTACCACAAGTTTGTTCTGCTTTGGGGGATAGCAGGCTGTGTGACTACAACAGAGCACAGGACCTCATGTGTTCATTCATAGATTTGCCTCCATAAAAACTGAGGCTGTAGTTTAGCTTTCAATGGAAGCCATTTAAAAAGAAAACATTACAGAATATACAATTGTAGTTCTTGACTCTCAGACACAAGTTCCTTGACGTGTTGAAAGGTGATGTTTTCGATTTCTGACTCCTGAACTCTTATCTTTACAGTCCGCAGGCTTCTGCTGTGAAATGTCTATCAGAGCACTTGCAATTGCAAGACCTGTAAGATAAATAAAGGAAAAACAAAATTTAATGCTCAGCTTTCCTGAGAAGAGTTCCAGAGCAGCGTGATGGTTTCTTTCAAGCCAAGTTTCTGTGCTTTCCCAGAAGTGACCAGTTTTAATTCAAAGTCAGGTAACAAGTTCTCACTTTCTTCAATGCTACTTGGAAACAGCAAAGAAACAGTGGAAGGAAAAAACACAGGTAAGAGTGGAAATAAGTTCCATTTGTGTCTCTAATTGATCTGCTGTGTGATCTTAGCATGACCTCTCTTTATCACCATTTTCCTAGTTATGAGGACCAGAAGCTTTCTGACATGAATTTCCTCATATTAAATGTATGTGCACTGCATTTAGAAATTGATAAAACCATCAAATCAGAAAATCAGAGAGGAACAGAAACTGCAGTTAGGATAACATTGTACTCCTGAATATTTGCCTTTGCAAAAGAAAAAAAAAATTATCTATATCTATATCTATCTATATCTATATCTATATATCTATATCTATATCTATCTATATCTGCTTCTTTAATTGATGAATATTCAGAGGTTAATATTAACCACAAAAAGATATGAAAATATCTTTCTAGAAAGCACAGATCAGTGACACAGATGACAAGCAGTGAACCATGATGGCCTGGGTAAAGATTTTCAACTCACCAAAAGTCTTCTGGTTTAGATTCTGGTTAATTTGTTGTTATTTCATGACCTGTTGTAATCTCAACAGGGTATTGGCAAAGGCATAGACCAGCGTGCTTAAGAATCATAGAAACACAGAAGATTCTGAGTTGGAAAACACCCACAAGGCTCATCAAGTGCTGTTTCTGGCCCTGAACAGGACAATACCAAAAATCCCACCATGTGCATTGTCCACATCCTTGAACTCTGTGCTGTGACCACGGCCCTGGGGAGCCTGCTCCAGCACCAACCACCTTCTAAATGGAGGGTTTTTTTCTAATATCCAACCTAAACCTCTCCTGACACAACTTCAGGCTGTTCCCTCGGGTCCTGTCACTGATGACCACAGAACAGAGATCAGTGTCTGCTCCTGATCTTCTCATAAGCTGTAACTGCAGTGAGATCTCCCCTCAGTCTCCTCCAGGCTGAGCAGACTGAGAAACCTCAGCCACTCCTCATTCAGCTTCCCTTCTAGACCTAAGAAGCTGATATTTTAAGAATTTTCCTCTCCCATTTGCTTTCTACTGCATCCTTTCTAGAAATGAGTGACTTCTAAAATGCTGTGATTAACAGCACACTTAATGCATGGTAGTTCTGGGCTTTTAAATTCACACAGGTGATACTCCAATCAAATGGATTAGGAGTATTCACATCATTTTTATCTTCTACTGAAAACAAACCACAAAAAACACTTTTACACGTGCCCAAAATGTAGGTAAGGATGGTGCTGGTTCTCAGCACTGCCCAAAACATTTAATTCTCCAACCCAATAACACAGCCACTCTCTAAGTAAACCTTTGAAAATACTTTTCACCATGTTTAACGGGCACTTTTAATTTCTTATCTCAAGCCAATATCAAACTCAATTTATCTATTACACAGAATCCAATTTTTGCAATACTTTTCATGCAATCCCTCATTACAGCACTTATCTGCTACGAAACTGTGCAAAAATTGTTTTTCACTAACAAGTGTTGCTACAATCTTCCTTCATAATATAAGATATATGGTCAGATTCAGTTCAGGTTCCCAGTATCCTGAAAAAATCTGTTATTGCACACTGGTAACATTACCTTTCTTAAGCCACAAAAAAAGTTGCAAGAATTGATTAATGTGCATCCAGCTTTTAAAGAATGCAGGATACTGTAAAACGCTAAGTACAATTATCATTGATACATTTCAGGATATGTAGGAGCCAAGATTAATCAAGTTGTTTTTTCTCACATACACAAATATTTCCTGGCATGAGCCAGTGATGCTTAAAATTGGACTTTGACAAATTAAATTGCTGAAATCTTTGAGGCACTTTTAAAGTTTAAGTATCTGGTATCACAGTATCTGGTGCTAGCAAATTCAGGGATAAAACCTAACTAACATTTTGATGATTGCTTACATGTCATCCCATCTTCAACAGCTAGGCTTAGGGACTCTGCTAAACAGAGGGAGTATTATTAGTAAGCAGATTTTTTAATTTAATATGCTATTGTAAAATATATTTGGATGTATTAAGAGGACCTCACTTAATATAACAAGTAACAAAAAGGAATCCTTAGGTCTAGCACTGCATACTGGGGGGTACTGGCATGTTGATTGAATTCCATTAAAATCAGGTCACTACAGAAGATCATTTGTCGAAACGCCACAGAAATCATCTGATGACATTCATTTATTATGTTTTCTACGCCCAGCATAGTTCCTTGTTATCAAAGCAATACAATTAACTGGGGGAACAATTCATTATTTCAGACTGGCAGTCTAAAGGAATTTCATTTACCAAGTCAAGCTTGTGCACAGACACTTTGAGCAGGGAGAATTTACATCAAAATAAAACAGAAGAAAATACTGTGGCTTAAATATTCATTAAAAAAACCCCAACCAAAACCAAAACATTCCCTTGATTTTACAGGTTTTTATCTAAATAACAAATGTGAATACATTTACAGTCATTGAAGTTGGAACTGTAAATTGTAAGTGCTCTAGATGTGTTACCTCAACTCCTAAGTCATTCCATTCACCTGCCTTCTCTGAATGCTGCTGTTTAAATACCCTGCCTAACATCCAAACTGGTATTTCCCAAATCATTGCATGGTCTCTGGTTGATTCTGACTGTTGAGCAGCATGGCAGAAAGGAACAGAGAAATCAGTAAGGATCCCACATGGAGACTCAACAGGTCACCTGTAATTTCTGCAAAATCAATCTTAGTTGCAGAACCAGCCCTATTTTTAAATTTACTTTGTTTTTCTACTAAATGTTATAGAAATAACCTGACCTAGTTCTATGCAGCTCAAACAACCTCTAGCTTGTTTTAAGGATATGTATGCATAAGTCATTAAGAAGTGAGCCCAGTCAAATTGTAAGTGGAAAGTATATTTTTGTAAGAGATAATTGCACCCACAAGGAGGAGAACACCAGAGGAAGCAATATGAACTTGGTTATCTTTAGCAGAACTATTGTCTTTCCTAATGGAAGTTAATTGGTAACACTTTATTTTCAGGAAGTCTCTAATCATAAAATTACTGGGGTGTGAATTTTTTCCTTTTAAATTTTTTTTACAGTACAGCCAAACTATTAATAAGTGGAAGGATAAAATACAGCAAATCAAATGAGATTATCTTGAAAAGCGCATTCACAGCTTATGTACAAACAGCCCTTTAATCCTGCATTCAAACAGGAGCATCTGAAAAAGTCATTCATTCTGAGATGCTCTCCTCCCAGTCTCTGTAAAAACAGGCAGTACTATATATTTTAATTTTGCAGCAAAACAGCTTCATTAGGCGTGAAAGGTTAATTGCAGGTTTAAGTGCAGTTCGGGGAACAGTGCACGGGTCTGTGGTGAATAGCACAGTCTGCTACAGGAAGGCTGAGTGCTATAAACTGTTTGCCCTGCTGAAATGTTTTACTACCTCATTTACTAACTGTCTTCTTTTACTGCTTGTATTTGTAGTTCTTCTAAACCTTTAATAGCTACAGTTTTATTTCACTGTAATCAGATTTAAATGGAAATACCCATGCTGGGATGTTTAAACATTTTTCCTCTGATTGTATACAACTACATGTGAACTGATGTAAGGCTACACTATCTCTAAAAGTAGAAAAAAACACCCCACATTGAAAAAATTAGTCTTACATGATGGTGTGCATATTTAAACCTTTTTTTTCTTCCTCTATTGTTCATTTTAATGAGAAATTCATGGAATTCTCACTATCTCTTTTGTTAAAAGTAAGGGAACAAAGAATGACCTCAGATTTGTGCTTAGGCAGGAAACTGGAAATGTTTCCTTTCAATTTAAATATGCATTATTCAGGTATAACATTTGGATAGATGTCTTCATTTGATTAAATTTCTACACATCATTGTTATGCAGAATCAGAACATTCAGAAACCCGAAGACAATAAAATAACTACAAGTCAGGTAGGTCAATTAGATTTGTTTGGCATTTTAACCAAAATTATAGTCATTGTTTAAGGTGACTTTAAGCAACAAAAATAAAATGCCAGCTGCCATACAGAGAGACTTAAACAGAAAAGATTGGGTTAACACTATATCATTAAAGTCACAGGTTCACCCTCCAGTGCCCAAAAGTTTTGTGTTCCTTCCATCTGTTGATTTTTTAAAGACTGGCATTACTGTCACCTCATAGTGGACAGACTCCTTTTATCACAAAGGATCTCTTACTCAAAATATTGCCATTGTGGAAGAAAATATTGCCCATGGAAAGCTGTAGAAATGGATGTGAGCTGTTTGAAGATACACTAAGTGATAAGAATCACAGACTGTGGTGCCCCATCAAAGTCACCATAGCACACAGTGAGGCCAATGAAGGCATTTTCATATTCATCAATAAAATTACCAGTTATAATGTAAGGAATTTTAATGAATTCTGCCATTTATCAATATTTTAATATTGATAATATTATTTGACAATAAAAATATTGTTTGATAAGTACCCAATGAATATTGTGTGAACTAATGGTATATGCATATATATATACAAAATTATGTAATAATGTAACATGACTATGCCATTATGTAAAAATTATATATATACACACAAAAATTATATACAACTCCCCACAGTTAATAATGAAGTTTTGTATTACCTACTTCTTAATTTGAAGAAACAGATCACATTCACCATAACATTTATGGAATGCACACATTTACTCTTCACAGAAAAAAATGCATTGATTATAATGTCTATAATAGTGGGGGAATATAACATTCTAGAAGGAACATAAAATTCTAGAATATTGTTACTAGGCAGTGTTTCTGAGTACCCATGGAAAAAAAACTCTTACTTTCTATGAGATACTGTGCTA